GGGGGGGGGGGGGGGGGGACGGGATGTGAACACACGGGATGACGTCAGAGAGACGCACCTTAAAACCAAAATGCTCATCATAGGAGGATGCATCAGTGGATCACACACACACACACGGGAGCGCGCACACACCGACGCAAACTGCTTTGTAAAACAGCAGGGACACTAAAAGAAGCCCAAGAAGTTACTTTCCCGGGCTGTTTTTCTTGTTATTGTTTATTGTGTTTGTTTATTATTTTAAGCGCCTCAACATGGAGGACGCGGTGCGTAAACATCTGCGCGCTCCGATTCGGACGCGCTGTTAGATGATTGTGTGATGGAATGAAAAAAGAAAAAGTGGGAAGTTGAACGGCCAGCAGCCCCTGAGTGTCTGTGGGGAGAAGAGAAGAGAAGAGAAGAGTCCGCGTGAGACACGGATGCTGTTGGATGTCGCCGCGCGCTCTCACTACTTTTGCCTGATTTGAATCGTCATGGCTTATTCTCAGTTGGGATACTCCTCTACACCGCAGGTACTGTTCTTTGTTAATAATACAAATAAACTGCTGTGCATGTTGTTTAAAACGTAAAAACCCAAAACTTGTTTACAATTGTTCTATTTGGGGTGTATTTTAGTGAATTTACGCATTTTTTATAAGCTGTTTTTTGTTTATTTTTCTTTTTTTACAGCTTGTGTGTAATTTTTTTATTAAGGTAAAAATTATTCAAGTTATCTGTTTTTATAGTTTTTAATGACTTCTAGCTCCTTGGCTGGAGCTACCCCGTCGCCCTCCGTGCTACGCTCCTCGGGCCACCAGTTCACTCCTGGAAGCAGCATCGGGGTCTACAGCGGCCCTTACACAAAGAGCCAAAACTATTACAACACCTGCAGCAGTGACTCCACTGCTTTATACTCAAGGGTGAGTCAGTTTTTTTTTTTTACTTCTTTTATTTTTAAACTAACATCAATGCAAGGAGTTAAATGCTGGTCTCATCTTAAATTTGAGGTAAAAAAAAAAAAAACAAGTAAACCCCATTTTATCTTATAAGATCATGTACAACACTCAACCTGCTTTAAAACCTGTTATGTCCTACAAAAAAAGATCACAAAGCACCACTGTAAAAACACATTGTATCTGTTATAAAATATCTCAGTGGTCTTGCAGAGGCATTGAGCAAATTATATATATATTTTTAAAAGTCAGCATTACAGGAGCTGTTAATCGAGACTGGAAACCAGTGAGGTACAAAACGTCATTTGAAAAAGTTACATTTTTGATTACAGCTGCTTAAATTTGGAACAGTTTACAGAAATTAAACTGAAACATTTGAGTTTTTACCGTGAAACTAAAACAAATCTAACGTGCACCAAATTGACTTTATACACCCTTAGTGTGTTTTTTGTCTTTGTGTATTGATTTATTAACACTACTGTTGACTTTAGACAATTAATTTTCCAACTTGAAATTTTATGGACTCTGATTAAAAAATAAGTATAACATTGTTTTTTGTGTTGTTATAAACAACTATCTATATTTTCAGGGGGCACTAGATCCCAAAGATGCTGCGTCTGTGCACATGGGGACATCTCAGACCCCTGTTTACTGCCCTTTTGAGTACACATTTGGACAGTACCCCTATGACAGATATGGGTAAGTCTCGGAATGCTTTTACTGCTTCATCAATTTTTGGTATTTTGGTGTCTGAGTGAGATTTTACGATCCTCTGGCACAGGTATTCCTGCTCAGATAGTTCCTCACGTCGTAAAAACGCCACTCGAGAGACCACCAGCACCCTGAAAGCTTGGCTACAGGAGCACCAGAAGAACCCCTACCCAACTAAGGGGGAGAAGATTATGCTTGCTATCATCACCAGGATGACACTTACACAGGTGGGCGTTTCTAAAATAACTGTTGGATGTTTACTTGTGGTTCTTAAACTTACATTATACTGTTCATTTCCTTCAGGTGTCCACATGGTTTGCTAATGCACGCCGGAGACTGAAAAAGGAGAACAAGGTGACATGGTCACCGCGGGCATGTAAAAGCTCTGATGACAGAGGCTGTGAAGACGACAGCAGTGAACCGGTAAAGCCACCAAAAAGTGACACACATGTTCCTGGTAAGAAACACCCGAGCCTCTTTATAGTCTTTAAAATTTAATCCGCAAGCATGCACTCATTTACATTATTTTTTAAAATTCTCAAATCAGATCAGCATTGTTCAGATCTACAGAGTGATCTGGAGGACTTTGACCTGCTGGAGTCAGACACATCTGAAAGTGAACTGAAGCCACCGTTTCTACCGGAGGACAGAGTAAGAAACCCAGACCTCATCTGTGATCAGCCCATGCAGCTACCGGAACCACTGCATGGAAAAGAAAGACTGTCCCCTGACCGTCCCAAACAAACACTGACCCAACATCAGAATAATTCTTACTATATTCATCCGGACCTTCGAAACACCAAACCTAAAATCTGGTCCATAGCTCACACTGCTGTGTCTCTGGAAACCAGCTTGCAGTCAGAATACCCTGCTTGCATGCTGTCATCAAGGTCCTCCTCTCCTGGGTACCCAACAAATATGGCACTTACTAAAAGGGAAAGGCAACAGGAATCACCAGTCACCACCCTCAGAGACTGGGTGGATGGAGTTTTCCATGGTCCTCCCTTTCAGCAGCCCAAACCAGCTGAGGCGTGGAAGGGCTTGGACCAAGTCATGATGGACAGCAGGACACCCTCACAATCCTTTGAACACGTCCAATCTACGTCGTCTTTGTAGTCCACCAAACCACCGTCATCGTCATCACATCACGAGGAACTTCTGACCTACAAATTGAAACAAAGGTTTACATTCTGTTTGTGTGACTTTATGACCTGACTGTTTGGTAAACACCACCCCAACAGCTCCAATAATTGAGTAAAACACTTTTCCAGAATCTTACAAAAGGAGTTTAGAGCTTGTAGTTTTTTGTCTCCATACAGTAGAGCCCATAGCGATGTCATCAAGTGTTTATTTCTCCATCATGGCAGTTTCCTGTGTACAGACTACCTACGTGCATTTAGCATTGCTTTACCACACATTATGAGATGCGTAGCTATTATACTCAAGCCAATGCTAAAATGAAACCACCATATAAACATAAATAAACATAAAGAAGGTAACTCCATTAACTATCTTGCCCCAAAATGAAGCCAAAACAGTTTCTTGGGAGTGCTGCCATGTTGTGTTTTTGGAGTCAGAATCTAAAGATAAGGGCTGTATCATCGATACAAAAATTCTGCCAGAACACCCTCCCAACTCTAACGTGCTGGCATATTGTGAGTCACAGCCAAATGTATTTAAAAAAGTTATTCATGAACATACAGCAGCAAGGCAGGAGCTACAGTAAGTGGAAAAAATATCTGTATCTTCAAATAACATACTTGCATGCACATTGTACGAATTGTTCATAAATAACACAAATTTTCCCTTTTTTACTTGTATGCAGATATAAAAGAGACAATGGATTTTGTCAAAAACTTTGCTTCAAGTTTTTTAAGTCTCAGAGCTTGCAGGTTGTTAGGAAATGTCACCTCTTGCAGACGCCGTTATCGCCACCACTAAAACTTAAACACCACTAAAAGGGATGTACTTCAGTCAGCCACAAGGGGTTGCTCGTTCTTTGTGGCTTCAACTTCTGGGTTTTGGTCCTTTAAGTTAAACTACATGGACTAAAGCTCTGTAACAGAGCTTAAGTTCTTAAGTTTAAAATCAGGTCACCAGTTATTGACAAACTGTGGCTCATTGTTGAGCCTTCAGAGCAGGATGCTGGCATCTTGAACTTTTACATTCGCTTAGATCGAAGACTAGAATTTGATCAGCCATCTGAATGATCCAAATTGAATTACCCAAGCGAATGGAGGTCAGGCAGAAACTACTTATTCTCCCTTTAGATAGTCAATGTTTACGGTCTTCTCAGAGCTCCATCAGGACCTTGGGAAAGCCTATCTGAGGACCTCACTAAACAATTCAACTGATCACTGGTGTCCCCCTGATAGTTCCTTTTCTAAGAAAGCTTACCTTCAAACTTCAGGGATACATTCATGTCAAATTGTATGAATTGTCCCTAAACTACATGGATTTTCCCCACATGTTGCAGGTATACGGACGCATAGGGCAATCTAACGGATTTTAAAAAACCTCAAATTTATTTTATGTCTCAGACCATGTAGGAAGTAAAATGAAAAATCATCTACCACAGTAAAGAAAATAAAAACAATCTCACAACCTGCTCTGCCGTTAGAAATAAGTAGAAATACTTCTCTTGTCCACTGCAGCTGCGTTCTCCGTGGCTGACAGTCCGCTTGTGACCCTTCCCTTGTTGATTCATGTGTGACTAAAATGATGGTGAAAATTATGGATTTTTGAGGGTCAAGATACAGGTAAACGTCGGTAGGGGTTGGCATGTATGGGGATAAACAAAGATCCCACAAACTTCTAACAAAAGTTGCATGAGCTCTACATGATAAAAAATGTGTATAAAAAACATCCATTATGTTTTTGGTAAATATTTTTAAAAAGTTATTTTCTCTCTCTAAACTTATTGCTCTTAAATCAAGGCCTGTATCACTTGAACATGTGGAGAAACCAATCAAACCAAGCAAACTTCATAGACATCTTGTGCTCGGTAATTGTAGCTAAACTGCAAATAGAAAACTGCTGGGGGTGTTAAGCAAACAGTCAGCATGATCCTGTTTGAGCTGTTTCTCATGACATAACTTGGATGAACATCTACGATCTTTGAACAAATGTACAGTTTACAAGTGTGAAAAAACCCCACTATTGTTCACTTGCACTACATTTGGCACATGCACTGAGTCACGAAAATAAAACCTGTGCATTCCGTAAAAAGTGATTTTTCTCCACCATTAAGGCAGACATCCGGTGTTACTGAAGCAGCAGTGGAATCTCTTGTCAATATAAATCTGTTTCTTGAGCAGTAGATTATACATCTGCAGCTTTAGAGATGTAAATATGTGTGTGAGATTGTTTGTGTGTGTTTGGAGGGAGTGAAAGGGGGGGAAAGTGGGTGGTATTCAGCCGTGACTAATGGAAACACACAGAGGAGGGTGCTGCTAAATTGTTAAATCGATGCCACTTCCACCTCGGCTCCAGATATAGCTGCAATCAGCGATGCGTCCCTTTTCATTAGGAGCCTTGTGACTTCGTCAACCTTGGACAGGAAGAAGACTCCACCCTACCCGCATCCCCGGCCGTCATAGAAGCCCTGTGACCGTTTTAAACCAGCGTTGTTGTTTTTTTTATCCTTTAGATATCTTTGTTTCCAAAGAAAAACATCACTGTAATACATGGAAAAATAAGGTTAACATAAAAATGTGATGTTTTATTAAAAAAATATAATGGAAAACTTAGTGAAAATAACTCACAAAACATTTAAGCTAACACACTGTAAAAAAAAGCATAAGTAGCCACTTTTTACGTTTTTCTCTCTTATCTTTTCTACACTTATCTTTTGTGTTTTTTTTAACTTTTTATTTTGGATCGGTGATAAAGTATTTATCAGTACAGAGGAGGGAACTGCCTGGGCTTTGTATGGAATTAACCATTTCAAATTAAATAATTCAGCATGAATTCAACTGAGAATTTCATTCTGTTTCTGCCTCATAAATAAGTCAGATTGGAGATGATAAATAATGGCATCTGACTTCTTATTCCTGTAAAGTTTTCCTTCTTCCACTCTGTGGCTTATGGGATCTCATTGTGACTACAAGAATATTTATTTTTTGTTCAGCCTAAATTTTGTTTCCCTCTTATTTGCCCAAATTTAATAAACTAAAAAAAGAATACAATTATATCCCTCCTTTTTTTCCCAAGAAACTTGAGGCAATTTTAAGGCTTGAGTAAAAATCTGTGCTTCAGTTTGAGACTGATTGCATAAAATTAAGCCAAATTTAAGAGAAAAGATGTTTACGTCACATTTAATTCATAGATTTTATTGGTTGCTGCCATGAAAGGTAAGCAATTATGTAATTGCCTTTGTCTCTAGTTAGTCTGTTAGTAAAATATCTCCTGAACCACTGAATAGATTTCAATGAAACTCTTTATTTTTACAAATGATTATCTTTTGAAATCACTCGATTCAACATGGCCGCCACAGCTAATGATCCTCAGCAAACACAAAAAACAACTACAACTCATTAAGAATTCTTTACAGGAATGGTGACTTTCACATTTCATGTGTTTTAATGTTTTTTTTTAACTTTGTGAAAATATTCAACATTGCTTCAATAATGAACAACACCCTGAGAAGAAAAAAAATAAAGGTTTGTTGATTAAGAATAAATCTCCATCAAAAACCTGTCCATGCTAACAACGTCTGAGCATTCCCCCCTCCATTCAGTCAAGCTGCGCCCCACCTGCAATGGCACTAGGGGGCACGCCCCACACTTTGGGAACCACTGCCCTAGGTTGTCCTGGTGCTTCGTGCACATATGGACACCGTTATGTTTGGACATGTTTTTGGACAAACATGACTAACACAGACGTCCTTCTCTCAAGTTTAGATCTGAAGGAGTCCCCAGCTAGAGCACCTTCCAGCACCCCTGCCAAGGACTCCAAGGCCGGATACTCCAAACAGTCGTTTGGAGCTTAGCACTAACTCTAACTTAGAGCCCGTCCCCACACCCAAAGGCGCAGGAAAGCTACCCTCTCATTTACTGGGGAAAACTCCAACACACAGGCACTTAAGCCAGGGGGCACAAAAGTAGACCCACACCAACTCAATTCCTCTCACAACGGGCAACTACAGAGAAGAATAAGGTTCAGCCTGACTCAAGGAAATTGGTTCTGTAGTCCATGCATCGAGGTGATCCCAACTAGCTGGTACCTCTCAAGCTCACACACCAGTTCAGCAAGTTGATCATTTCATTCTAAAATCTTATAATATCCAAAAACTAACATTGAAATAGTGTAAAAGCTGTGAAAAAAATACATTAAAATACCAGTTAAGTCATAACGTTCAAATTTCTCTGACTTGTTTAAACTTATAGGCCTATGTAGAGTTGTAGAGATCGAAACAGGGTTAAATTTCTTCATGTCTTTTGCCCAAACCCTACATTTTTGCAAATTTTTTCTTCTGTTACACAATTCCCGATCAAATAACACACTTATATGTGTTTTTGAAGCTGCAGGAGGATTAATAAATGAAAAATTGGGCCAGAAATGGAAGAATAATGAGTGAATAGTAAGACTGCCAGGTTTGCCTTGGCATCAAAGAAGAAACAAGGATTTTTTTCCCCTCTCCTCATCAAAACATAGATAACAAGAAACCGTTTTCAACAGTAAATTTGAGAATCATTCCATGAGTTTTTTTTAAACATCTCTTTTAAAATTTTGTTTTATCACACTGTCTTGCTTGGGTCTTCCAAACTTGTCCTTCTTTATTCCTTCCTCTCCAGACAGCAGTTATCTGCATTTCACTTCTTTCAAAATTTTAGATGGAATGTCTCCACAGAAAGTATTGACATCTTCAATTTACTCCTCTCTGCACCTCCTGTCTGACACCTATTTCCTTTCAACACTGTCTGAGCCTCTGTTGCACACACACACACACACACACACACACACACACACGGGCATACACATACTCACAGTTCTAAGTCTCTTGTGTCTTGTCACACACACTTTGGTTTTCCGGGGCTATCAAAGTGCTGAGTGCAAACTCTGTCCACCAAATACTGCCACATGTTGCCGGGGGTGTCTCGCTCCCTGCGGTAACCCTCTGAGCTCTTGGCACAAGAACAAGTCATTATTTCCATGGTAAAGGTCAGGGGCTCTGTCACCTGACCAAAGTAGAGCTGAGCGGAGTCGCCTCCAGACAATGACCAAAGGTCAGTTTTCTGATTTGCCTCTCGTACGGCTGAGTGTAGATTTGAAGAGGCCGGGCTGCTCCCAGATCAGCCCCGTGAGCTCGTTTCGGGTCAGTGTGGCTTCCAGACATGGAAGCTCAGATAATTGGTGGCAGAGAGCTCCATAATGAGCCTCGGGGTCTGTAATGTGACACATCTTAAAGCAGAAATATTTTAATAGGGCAATTACAGTGAAGAGGAGGATGTTTTATGTAGACTGAGTGATTGTTGTGGAAGGATGCTGTAATAAGGAGTTCAGTGGCATTTAACTGCACTACTGCTCAGTGTTGAGGACATTTTTAATGTGAGCTCATTTCAGCTTCTTTGTGTCTGAACGGTTGGACCCATCAATGCACGTCATACTAAAGATTTTGTCGTATTTAAGGACGTATGTACTGAAGCACACCTATTTGGTTGTTAATTTATACTTTCCATTGTGGTATTCAATTCAGTGCTCCTCCCACATGTTTGAAAAAACTCAGGCAAAAAGTACATCAAAACATGTCTTGAACAGACATAACGCAGTAGGACTTAGTCGTAGCACATTATGTGGCACAGACACAATTAAAAAAAAGTACAAAATTTTCCCAATAAATGGTAAGCTTTTAGTAAAATCACTGCAAAAACCCAGCACTGTTTAGAGTCCATAGCCCAGAGGCACACCCAGAAAACTTTTAATGGGTGGCCCCTGTGGAGGAGGCCATTGCCCCTCGGTGGCACCCCTGCTTACCCCAAGGAACATCATTCAAAGTTTAAGTGAATCATAGAAAGTTGGACCTTATGCCATTGAACTGGCAATTAAAATTATTGAACCGAGTTAGAGAAAAATGTTTTTGTGAATTTTGAAGAGTCTCACAAATCATTTAACTTAACAACACGTTAAGTTGCATTGCACATTTAGACAAACTTTATGGTTTTTGTACAATTTATATATGGTAAATGGTAAATGGACTGTACTTATATGGCGCCTATTCATCCAGGACACTCAAAGCACTTTACACTTACATTCACCCATGCACACACACATTTACACACTGATGATGGCAAACTACATTGTAGCCACAGCTGCCCTGGGGCACACTGACAGAGGCGAGGCTGCAATACACAGGCGCCACTGGACCCTCTGACCACCATCAGTAGGCAAGGCAGGTGAAGTGTCTTGCCCAAGGACACAACGACAGAGTCAACTGGACGGAGATCGAACTGGCGACCTTCCGGTTCCAGGACGACTTCCCTAACCACTCTACCACAGCCACCCCATTTATATTAAAACATTGACACTGATTTTATTTCCCCAGTGCTATAGCCCTGATAAACACATGCCAAGGTATTGTGTAGGGGTGTAAGAATAGCTACAATAGTCCACATTGAAATATCTATAAAATGACTGATTCAGTTACATCGAGGCAAAATAAAAACATTGATCGATATTGTTATAAAATGTTTAATGTGGATCTATATATTGTTTGCCGACTTGTAAACTGAATTGACTAAAAATCGTATCATGAAATTTTGTGATAAAGATCAGCCAAAGAAATTAATATAATATTGTATTATGATAAATTGGTGATTTACACCCCTAGTATTGAGTATTGACACACAAGATTTCTTAAACTTTCAATGTACCTGAACTCAGACTTTACTTTTTAAAAACTAGAAGATAATGTAGATACATAAAAAATGAAAGTCCTAGCATTCCTTGAAGGAATGCACATGCTGCTTATCATGTCAGTTTTAAATTAAAATCATCTTTTGTTCAGAAATTAGGGAATTATAGTCATTTCGGTCAAAGCTTCAACATATAGCCACTCTCTATATTTCGATTAGTCATGCTCAGAATGTGTTCACATTTTTCTACTACCACAACAAATTAAATTGACTGAGTTGTAGGGGGACCAGGGACAGTAGCAACAAGGGACGGTTGCAACATGTCGTTTTTCTCCAAACAGAAACAAGTTAGACTGATGACAGAGAGTAATATACATAACCATCAATCAAGTGACAGGTGACACGCCCCCTTTTGGGGGGGGGGGGGCATCCGTCATGTCCATATATGGTCAACTTCCGGTGACTTCCGTCCTCTTTTGATTGACCGTAAGTAACCCNAAAAATAATTTAGGGGGGCTCTAGCCCCCCATAAAATAGGCCTAGTAACGCCACTGCACAGAACTCAGGAAAATAAAATAAAAATTTATTTGCTCTTCTGTAGATTTGAGCAGAAATCATCAGAGGACAAACTCAAAGTGGAAAACAAACTTCCTCAAACTAACGCTGAAATCTGAGCGGGAAAAATATAAAACAGACGACAGCTCGAAGCTTTCAGGGTGGAACCGTTTGAGTTTATAGTCTGACATTTCATGGCCATTATCCATCATCACACACAGCGGGGTAGAAAACACACACACACACAGAGCAGATGATGGTGTTTGAGTTGATGTGAGAGAGAAACGACACAGAGGAGGAGAGAGGAAAGAAAACCATCGATGAAGGGACAGATTACAGGTGTTTTCAGATTATTGTTGTTCGGAGCAAAAAGCAAATAAAAACACCACGAAGGTCACGAGATGAGGTCAAACTCCTCGCCYAGTCCACCGGTAAAAGTCAAACTGCAGAAACAGCCGAACTCTTCCAACACTAAATAATTCAGCGCGCTCGTTTTGCGCGCTGGGATCCCCGGTGTGGGCGGGGCTCTCTCTGTCAGGACGGATCAGGTCGTCCGAGCCTGACGAGAGAAGCTCTGATCCTCTGAGAGTAAAAAAATAATAAATAAAATAAACAACAAACAGCTAAAAACACAAAACTCCAAGCCGACATTGACCTTTACGCCCTCGACCTGAAACTTTCCATTTCCCGGGAGTCGGCTTCAGTGAGCCGAGGTCAGAGCGCCCCGGCCCCCGCCTTCGGCTGCAGACATTAAAACTCAAACAGCTGTTTTTAGGCTTTAATGCTGAACCTTAAACTGATATCTGAGTTTGGACGTTTCTGTCAAGAGATTATTAAACATTTACTTTCTAAAAACACACTCGCTTGGAAACAGAAAGGGTAAAAACAACACATCCGGTTATCAGCTGAAGCTAACTGGTCTGGTAAAGGGTTTTCAGAGTTAGTGGAAAATCCGCTACATAAAAATATAGCTTCACTAACGGAAAAACGCCAAGCAGTTAAAAAATAAATACATAAATAAATTAAAGCAAACACTAAACAGCAAAGCAAGTAACAACTTGTGGAAGCTAACACTAGAAGCTAATCGCTAAACGCTCCCGCTGTCAGTCATCTTCTTCTTCTCGGAGCTGAAAACTGAGGAGAGTATAAATCCTGTTGATGTTAGCTTGTTAGTTAGCTATTAGCAGATATAAAGTTGGCCAAACCTAATTATGCGGAAGCTAATTGGTCCGCTAACAGTTTTCAGAGGTAAACAAAAAGCTAATTTGCTACATAAAAATATAGCTTTGCTAAGGTTAACCGCTAACCAGTAAAGAAATGAGCAGAATCTAACGCTAAAAAGAAAAGTAAAGATTTGCAGAAGCTAGCACTAGCAGCTAATCGSTAACCGCTAAGACCAATTTGTCCCACTTATTTGTCTCATTTGAACTAAAGGTTGGTGGGACTGATATAAGCATGTTGATGTTAGCAGTTAGCAGACTTAAAGTTGTCAAAACATAATTTACAAGAAGCTAACTGGTCCTTTAATTGTTTAAAAGTTAGTGAAATTGTTAATTTTCCATCTAAAATCATAGCTTTGCTAACAGTATATTTCTACACAGCAAAAAATAAATAAATAAAATTAGTGAAAACTATCAAAGAAGCACACATCCTGAGGACCTAATCAACGTTTTGTTTTTTAGAGTGAAAGCTAACTAYCGAAAGCTAATACTAACTGCTAATCGCTAACTGCTAAGACGACTATCACTCAATCTTCTTCTTGGAGTTGAAAACGAATGGGACTGAAAAAACAGCTTAAGTTATTAGTTAGCTGTTAGCGGACCTAAAGTTGGCCAAACCTAAATTAGCGGAAGCTAACTGGTCTGCTAACGGTTTTCAAACTTAGTTAAAAAGCTAATTCACTAAATAAAAAATTAGTTCCGTTATTAGCCGTTAGCAGATTAGCGGAACCGTGCCCACCACTGACAGGAGGGGTTTAAATTAAACTTTATGAAAGTTTTTTTGAAAGCACAACTAACCGTATCAATCTAATACAAGATGGCCGCCACAAAAATGACTACAACTCAGTTGAATTTAAAGATGCTGAGCTCAAATTCAGTGTTTGTCACGTTCAAAAACTAACACTTTCTTTTACACGTTGTCTTCCTAATTTAAACACAAAAAGGTTTTCTGTGAAGACGGACTAACAATCTAATCTGTGTTCAAAAGGACATTAAAAACCCTCATCGACCCGTCATCTCTGAGAAACMATTAATGTTTGTCAAGCAGCTGACAGAAACAGTCCAACTGATTTATTGTAAACAAAAGGTTAAAAGGTTTATAAATAGTTAAATGAGTTAAAAGCTGAGCAGGTTGTTGTTTCTGCGTTTTATTATTTATCTGTTTATTTTCTGGTTATGACATTTATGAGGCTCCTTCCCTGGGAGACGCACACAGAGCGACTCCTCCGCTGACCTTTCCCTCTTCTTCAGGAGACTCTTAATTGGTCTTGGGCTGCAGRCGCCGATCGGGTCGCGATGACCGCTCCGAGCGGCCATCTTTAGTGGACGAGACAAACAAAGACAACAAAAAGAGGTCTGGAGTTCTGCCCTCTTAGATGCTATTTTCTTTTAGAAAGAGATTAAAATCCAAATTCACCCGAGAGTCAGACCGTGCAATGCRCAGAAATATGAGGTCTGTCTCTGCAGCCCTCAGTTAGCAGMTTAGAGAGAACTCTGACTAGTTGTAACATTATAAACATTTAATCCAACTTAAAAAAAACAGACCGTAAAAATACTGTAGACTGTTTAGTTTTATGAATTTTAAAAATATGTTGTCACACAGACATCCTCATGTTCTTTACACTGTYGTGCTTGCTGGGTAAATGATGACGTTTATTTGGAGCTGTAGAGTAAGCTCAATCCAGCTTGAAGGTTAGTTTTGGACAAAGTTTGACGTTCAGCCATTTTAAATTAAATGAAACCAGATCGCGTTGGCAGAGAGGAGAATGTAGAAATGAAACTGAGAATATGGATGGAGGACAACAGAGCTGCTTCATCGAGGCTCACCTCAGCTTTAGCCTTTTAGCTTTCATGTTAACTCTCAAAGCTATGCAACTTCAGAGCTAATAAATATAGCATTAGCTCCCAAGCTAAAATAAATAGCGTTAACTCACAAGCTTATTTAATACGGTGTTAGCTCCCAGGCTTATTTAAACAAGGCAATCACTRCCAAGCATATTTAAAGATATTGTTAGCTCCCAAGCTAATATATATATATAGACTAGCTTCCAAGCTAATTTATATATGGCATTAGCTCCCAAGCTAATTTAAATATGGCATTAGCTCCCAAGCTAATATATACATATACTGTATAGCACCAGCTTCCAAGCTAATTTAAATATGGCGTTAGCTACCAAGCTAATATATAGCTATATAACACTAGCTTCCAAGCTAATTTAAATACGGCGTTAGCTAACAAACTAATACATACATATATAGTATTAGTTCCTAAGCTAGCACTAATTTCCAAGCTAATTTAAATATGGTGTTAGCTCCAAAGCTAATTTTTACGTATATAGCGCTAGCTTCCAAGCTAATTTAAATATGGTGTTATCTCCCAAGCTAATACATACACATATATAGCACTAGCTTCCAAGCTAATTTAAATATGGTGTTAGCTCCCAAGCTAATATATACATTTATAGCACTAGCTTCCAAGCTAACTTAAATACAGTGTTAGCTCCCAAGRTAATATATACATATAAAGCATTAGTTCCCGAGTTAGCACTAGTTCCCAAGCTAATTTTAACATGGCGTTAGCTCCCAAGCTAGTTTAACTATGGTGTTAGCTCACAGGCTAGTTTAACTATGGCGTTAGCTCACAGGCTAATTTGAAAATGGCGTTGGCACAATAAAAGACTAAAATGTGTAAAAAAAAKCAGCTGAATTTTCAGTTACAGTCTCAGTGAAATCAGAGCTTTTTCAACCAGCAACTTGTGTGAGTTTTAGTTTTTAAAAAGTACAGTATAACTGTATTGTAGGTCTCACACATTATTTAGCTGCTCACGTCATTTCCACCTCAGCTAAGTGGACCATGGTCTAATATTAACATTGTGTAATGATGATTTGTTGCTCATTTGATTTTATATTTATATATTTTATTAGTTTGTAAAACCTTTGACCTGACCTTGTTTCAGACAGCTCAGTGTTTCACAGAGTAAACAACCTGTTGTTGTTGTTTACCTTGTCGGCGTTGTCTGCAGCCAGCAGGTTGGTGGCGAGGGTCTGCAGTTTGTGCTGGGCCATGTTCTTCAGCGCTGCCAGGCTGCGGCGGGTCATGGCCTGCTTCAGGTTGACGGCGGAGTGGCTCAGAGAGTCCACGGCGGCCGGAGCCAGCTCATCGCAGGCGTTCAGGATCTCCACGGCCGTGATGCCCATCACGCAGCGATCCAACGCTCCTGAGGACACAGAACGAAGGAAAACCATGAAACATGAAGGACCGAGCAGAGAAAACTACAGACCCGCTTCCAGGACTGGACTCAGATTTTAAAGAATTCTTTGTTCTGTTCCTTCATCTTTTCTCAGCCTGAACTTGAAGCGAGACGTTCAGGGAGGCCTCATTAGCTGCAGATGGTTCTGAATGAGGTGAGAGCCATCAGAACCCAGAGTGATGAAGGACCCATCAGGACCGGTTCAACGCCTGAGCTCACACACAGACTCATTTCACACTGAGCTGCCCTGCCAACACACACACACACACACACACACACACACACACACACACACACAC